TTATGCTAGGTAGATTATCTCAAAGTAAAATTCATATTTACAGATTCCGGATCCCAAACTTTGTAAGAGGGCATTTCAGAAACTGTATTGATGAAGTAAAAGACCAAGATGAAAAACATGATGAGCGGACTGATGACTCTCCATGATGCCTGCCAGAAGAAGTTGGGTTTGTGTCCAATCATGAACTCAATGTCGTCATTGAACCTATAGGAGGACAGTGACACACATGGGACATTGTCAACAATATGCAAAACAACATTTCGCCTTACAAAGGGGACAATGACTAAGTCAAAGCTCATGATCATTCTCAAGGTTTATGTAAAAAAGACTTAACATCACTGAAGTAGTTGAGATCTCAATTTAAAAACATTTGTTCCTATTCTAAAAAGGCAACAGTAGTGCAGCTATATCACTAGACCTATTATTATAATGTTCACATCCTGGTACATGATATATAAACAAAGTTTTCAAACTACTATTTCAATATTACCTATCTATTCCATATATGTATACCACTGAGAACATTTCACAAAAGCCAACAATTAGCAGGGTGATGGATCCTCCGTAAGAGTCAAAGAGTGACAGCCAGTAGTTTCCTGAGCCTTGGATAAATATCAGACCCACCAGACAGCACATCAGGCACGTTACACCTGAAGGAGAGAAATAAATTGACATACGTACCAGAATGCCTTGTTGATTGAGAATGACAGAAAAGATGCAGACTTACCAGTGATGGCCTCCTTTGGCCATGACTTTGGGAAAACTTTGAGATCTTGCAATGGCACTAGAACTCCTTCAATGGTACCAAACATAGAAGAGAGACCAAGGCAGAAGAGCATGAGGAAAAAAAGGACGGCCCACACTGGTGAGACCGGCATCTTGGTGATAGCCTCGGTGAACACAATGAAGGCTAAACCAGTTCCTTCAACTCCCTAGACAGAAACACAACACTGTGATAAAGTAAAACATTACATGCATCATTTGAAGCTGCCGTCCTCGTGCATTAATAATTGTACTCCGACCTGCTCTGAGAAAATCTTACCTCACTGAGAAAATTATCCAAATTGCAGGTTTTTAGATCCATCTCTTGAACAACACTAGGGTTTGTTTCATTGAAATGTTGAAGTGCCTCATTGTAGTTGCTTTCAGTGACAGTGCCCTCAGCCAGATTAAATGTATTTAGCAATTCTAGGATGTTTCTGAAACCCAAAAGTCATGAGGTAGAAGATATTTTACTGCTGAAGAAAAAATACTGTATATTAGCTGCTATAATGTATAATCACGCAAAAAAGACAGAAACATACCCAGAAAGACAGCTGTCGAATCTCTCTGTTGCTCTGAAGCCGATAATGGTGTAAATGACAGTTGCAGAAAAGACACAGGTGAAACCATTGATGATGGCGATGATAATTGCGTCCTGTTCACAGTTGTTACTAAAGGAGAGATGGATTCTTTTTATTCAAGGAACAGTACATATACCTTTAACTTGAAATGACAGAGAGTTAAACAAGATGATAAACTTACTGCAATGAGTTGTAGCTGGAGAAGGAAATGAGACCACCACTACCCATACAGAAGGAATAGAAAACCTGAGCACCTGCATCAAGCCATGTTGTTGGTTTTGCCAGCTCTGCAACCTGGAAGAGGTAGTATGTTAGGAAAATATGACATCATATAGCAGCTCTCGTTGTACAGAATGTAAGGTACATTTAGAAATATATAATAAGCTCTGTTAAAAATACTACTGTATAAAATACCCCTGTAATTGCCAAACAGCTTTAGAACATGGTCTTTTTGAATGCTGCATATTCAGTTCATTCGGATTTGTTATCYAAAGGGAGACCAGTGTTTTATATCTACTAACTCCAGAAATCTGTGTCTGTCTGTCTGTGGCTCACATGTCTTGAGAGCCATTCATCTTATCTGCTTCACTATTAGCCTTGTGTATTGTTAAGGGCCTAGAACGAAATATGAACAGCGCTCTGCAGCAGCTGCGGATAGGGCTCATCAACAGAAGTGACGTTCATGACAAGTATAGTGACTATGGGAAGTTTTTGAGATGACCAGTTCACTATAGGACACTTTAAATATCGTGTGTCTACATGTTAATTGATGAGAAGAAAGAACTCAGGCCAGTACTCTTTATGCAGGAAAGGAAATGAAAACAATTACAGTACTTCTTGGTACAGTGTTGAGTGTGAAGCTGTTTGGATGATGTGCCCGAAAACCAAACTCTAAACAGGATTAACACAGGCCAAGCAATGAACCCAAAAGGCATTGAACTAGGATTATAAAAGTACAACTTACATCTGGTGTAAAGAGAAGCTTTAGTCCATTCAAAGATCCTTTCAGAGTCAGTCCTCTGATCAGAAAGATTGTCAACACCACATAAGGAAGGGTTGAAGTCACATACACAGCCTTGGGAAAAATGAGATATTTACATAATTATTATTTAGCTAAATAAAAAATCTTATTCTTATAAAAATATGAATCTTTTAAAAATCTCTTCTTTGACATTGCAGTAAGCATTGATCCATACCTTTCCTGTGGTCTCAATCCCATGAATGATGCAGACATAGAGCATGGCCCATGCACAAATATGGCACAACAATATCCACCACTGCAGCCCACCGTCGTTCTCAATCCCAGGAGTTGTGTTCAAGGTCTCCCTGTACCAGAAATAATCCACGGGGGAGCTCTTCCCACACTCTGGGATATATCCTGACAGAATTTAAGAACAGTGTGTAACACCATGCCTAAAGCCACACTCTCTAACCCTTCTGCACAAGTACAGATGTATAGCACTAACCTGTTAAATTGGCATTCATGGGACATTGACTCCATGGCAGAGGCTCTTGGAATGAGTTGAAGAAATACCACATAATCCAGGCAAGGATGGTGTTGTAGTAGAGACAGATTGTAAGACACACACACATGGATGCAATTCCTGCAAAAGAAGGGTTTAATTGTTTTGCAATGGTTTCATCTCCGTTGGTCTATCTGTCTGTGTTAGCTGGATTACACAAAAATCTACGAGAGCGGTAACCAAGAAATTTAGAGGCAGGATATGGTTTGGGTCAGAAAGGAAACCATAAAATGTCTGTGTGTTACACCCACTACACATGATTAGCACAAGCAATAAGGCTCAAAAAGCCAAAGGGATTGATAAGCAATGATATTATCATTGGTTACAAACATATAAAGATCATTTGGCCCTGCTTTCACCTACTCAGAGTCTTATCTCAGTCTTTGGAGTAACAGGTCATGGGCTAAATGCCACTACACAGCACACTGGTGCACACTGAGTGAATTAACACATTTAAAGGTCGCACGTGTAATCATTTCATGGCAAACCTTTTGAACCCAACATTCCTGTAGAACCCCTCCACACTCCAGGCCCACCCCGACTGCCCAGCTGAGACTTGACCCACGCACAGCTCAGCAGTGGAAGCAGGAAAACAAAAAAACAAAGGAAAGAAAATTAATCCGCTCCAAGAGCAATCCCCACCTTTTTACTGCCCGTTACCGGCTCACTTGCCAGGGTGGACTAAACAAACAAAAACAGACAAACAAAAAAATGTCCTACAGCAAGAGCAGAAAATGGTCCCCCTGCCCTGTTATGGCGACTATTGGCCGCTTTCCACCCAGCGGGGAAGCATGTCAGTTGTTCCTCTCCTCTCTTGATGCTTCATCGGCGCTCTGATGATGTACTAGTTCTAGACAACAATAAAATTGACTAAATCCTTACATCAGTAACCCCCCAAAGAATAATACAGTAAGTAGAATAACAATTCATGATATTGATTCCTAAATTACTGATCGTGGCAGTCGAGACAGATTGGTATGTTTTCCTGCAGTACTCCTAGTAGACCTACGAAGGCCCCACATCACCCCTAAGGGCTCTTCTGTCTCTATGTCCTCCTCCTCTTCTCCCACAAACACCTCAGCTCCTGACATCGACTCCTCACCGTCAGACCCCACCAACAGCACTTTTTGGATGTTAAACGCTTTCCCAATATCTCCCCTCTCCACCTGTTCTTCTACCGAATCCTGGCCGGCATCTGACCTCAGTCCACCTGCAGGCAATTCTCTTAACTCAGTTCAATGCACTTGCCTTACCAACCCACCCTGTACTACCAGAGTGATAGAATAAATGACACCACGGTCCGGGGGCTACAGTACCACCTGGTAGGGGATCGGGTCCAACGCATGCTGAATCTTATTGCAACACTTCAACCCATGATTGCTGACATAAACAAGGTCTCCCTCATTTAAGGAAGGATCTTTGACTCAGGGCTCCTGCTTCTGGTCCAAGTACTGCCTCCTCACAGCCAACCACTGGCGTACATGGCCTCCTCGAGTGACTCTTGGTGCTCCTGCACCCAGTCCTGCCCCTGGCCCTCTTCCCCCTCTTATGCCTCTGCCCTTTACAAAGAATCTACAGGCAAGCGAGGCTCCCACCCAAACAGAGTCATGCAAGTCCAAGGTGACATGGCAAATATCTCTTCTGGTCCGGGGGTAGTTCACACTGGTCATTGCCATGAGGTTGCTAAGGAGTTGTTGGATTTTTTCTAACTTTATAGACCTTGTATAACTGGCACTCTGATCCTTGGTGGGAATGGCCTGGGTATATTTAGAAAACACATCTCTCAGGAGCAATACATTCTCTCTGAAATTTGAGGCTGGTTCTAAGACAGTGAAGTCTATTGCCAAGAGCTCATGCGGGCGAGAAGCCTGCAGACTGCCCATATAAGGTTTAATCTTTGCTATACAGCTTTAGCCAAGACACATCTTCAGCAGTTCTGACACCATTTATCCACATCTCTATGCATATTGGGATAGTAGCAATGGGAATGTACTAGTTTCAGAATAGGTTCCACCCCCCCTGATGGCACCGCAACTGGTGAACCAGCTCCTTAGTGCCAATTACATATTGATGAATCCCAGTTTTGATCATCAAAAGTTAGTACACACAGTTTAAGCCACTTTTATGTGTGTGCACTGTTTTTGAATGAGTCCCATTATTGGGCCTTGGTGGATAGTACCCCACTGAGTGCCATTCTAGTTTTTAATGGCTTCTTTCTACTTGTAGTAATCATCATGCAAAATGTCGCTTACCAATACCAACTAAATAAGGATGAATTGTAGCCCACAACTGCAAGTTCCCTCTTTTTATACGCTGACCGATGGCGAACTCGAGAAGCAGAAGTGGGATTCCTTCAAGGACCAGTAGGATCAGAAACGGTATCATAAATGCACCTGGAGGAGAAACCAAGGAAATGTTAGCATTGTGACACTCAAACATTTCTGTACCTTTCGAATACATCATTATCTGTTTTTTTTAAATCTTGGAAAAAATATCAGAGAGCTGAGTAAGAATGTATTCCTGATGTAAGAGATACATTACAAAACCTTGTTAATTATTCATAGTGATTGCATGTGGAGTTATTATGCAATTCAATCCATTCAAGCTTTTGCAGCACTTTTTCAAGGATTTCCTGCCAGTAAATATTTGGAGCTCTATTGAACAAGCAATATCAAACAAAAACCCACAGCAAATGATTTTTCTCACAAGCTGGCAACTTAATGCTCTTCCAGATTGTCCTGAATTGGACTTAATGAGGCATGAATTCTTTTACATCTACTCAAACAATATTGTTGAAAAAAATAGCATAAAACTATGAAAGCATCACTTACCTCCTCCGTGATTCTGACACAGATAGGGGAAGCGCCAGACATTTCCGAGCCCCACACAAAACCCCACACAGGTCAGCATGTACTGCGTCTTGTTTTCCCATTTTGGTCGGCCTCCAGCATCTTCCTCCTCCAGCTTTTCCAGCTGCTCGTAGGACAGTAACCTTTCCTCCAGGCCCGGATTGGGGATTTGTAGCTTCATGATCGAGGAAACACTGGACCTGTAGTTGTTTTTTTGTGATAATGTGCTGAAATGTAAATTGTTTTGCTCACACTGCGAGATGTACTGGACCACTGTAATAGACTGACTCAACTGTGCTGTCAGAGAGCATCAGCAGGCTTTTAAATGTGTCCGAGCCAGGACACATGGCAATCAAACAGTGTCTTATCTGATAGGGAGGGGTGGTATTACAGAGTTCACTGTTCCTGTGATTCTTACTGGAGATAAAACAGATTATTAAAGGATTTATTGTATACCTGTATCAGTCTCTTCATCCAAATGACAAAAATATTTTTACTTCCTGTCGGTGTAAATAAATATAACAGACATGTTCAAGGTTCACTCTAGATCAAAAAACTGACTATCATCTATTGTGTTGCTGTCATGTTTTTGATTTGTTGTCTAATTTTCTCATTTGCAGCTGTGTTTTTTTATTTGCTGTTGTGTTTTTTAGTTTTTTGTGATTTACAGATCTAGGGATTTGTATTAGAACCCATGAAATCTCAACACAACTTGTGAATTCAAGTTTGTCCAAACTGTGATTGCATTATATTTCCATAACGTTGTATCTTGACATCATACATTTCCTGCGTAGTCTGTTATTTCTGCTGACAAAAGCAGAAAAGCAATGCTTTTAACTGTACCTCCACATTGTTGTGTTTTCCCATTTGCCTTTGTGATTTGTACTTCAGGGCCACCGTAGTCATCTGTTTTTTCAGCTATGTATCTACTCTCTAGCGTCTGTATTTGTCTAATATCTATTATCTAACATCCACTGTATCTATCTAACATCCACTGTATCTATCTAACATCCACTGTATCTGCGGTGGCTTAGAGAGCTCAACACGCTGCAAATTAAGAACGAAAAAACACTTAACAAATTAATTTGATGACACATGCGCTGCAAAAAGTTGTGAAGTTTGTAATGTTTTTAAAGGCTGCTACTCCTCAGTGGTGATGGAACTTCACAAAGCATTGAACTACAGCCGGGTTCTTTTTTGTGTCCGGTGGAAACATTTCTGTTCTCCCAATTTGCAGAGCTTCTGTATTTGCACGTGTTGTGACTTTTTGCAGCGCGTGTGTTGTCGAATTGATGAAGTTTTTTTCTCAATTTTTTTGTCTATTTCCCTTTGTTTTTTTTATTTGCAGATCGTTGAGCTCTCCGGGCCACCGTATGTATCTCTCCACGCATCCTTCGTTGACCGCTCTCTGCTTGCTTCAGTGCAGTGTGCGCCCTGTACTGCTTCTCTTTGACCACTGGAGGTCGACATTGTTGTATCAGTAGCTGGCCCTGCAGAGCTCTGGCACAGTTCTCTGGAGGAGGGAGCTGCTCACCATCGCTGTCACAGGGCGCCAAGTGTTGCAGTCCCGTCCGCAGTCTGCCTCAGCACCGCCCGCAATGCCCTTGGACACCGCCGCCCCGCACACTCCCGCAGCGCCCTGACTGACTACGTCTCTCACGGAGGTTTCCCTGGATGTTACTTCAGTGCGCACTGTCCCGAGTCCTCTGCGCTGCGTGACGCGAATGGAGAAGGTCCAAGGATAACAAGAGGCTGCAGGGTTTCGCTACTGCAGGAGACCTGCCGGCAGTCTGCTGGCCGGGGAGGGCTGTCTGTCACAGGCTGCGGTCATCCATTTATTCTGATCATCTCCAAAACGCCTGTGCATGGATACATCATGGCTACGTTCATGTGCAGGGTACAGTTCTTAGATGATACTGATCCATTCAACAGCACCAATTTCCCCGAGCCCACCAGACCACCTCTGTACACTTTCAGGGAAGATATTCCTCTGATCAATCAGATTGCTGGAGTCCACAGGCTGCTGAAAGCCCCACAGAAGGTATGCACTTTACTTTTCACTCTCATGATTATGTTCATTTGTCTTTAAAGGAACAAAAGATATCACCTGTAAAATTAATAATTAGCCTGAACATGTTGAGGTTACCACCAAACAAACCTAATGGACCATTGGTAGAGTAAATTACTGTGATGCTGATGCAGCCTCATTATACAAATAAGTTATTGCATGTACTGTCAGTACAGGACAGGCCCATGATATGACATTATGTTAATAATAATATGAATAATTTGTGGCTTTAAATTATATTGGAGTTGAAAAGACATCCATTATTTGTCTTGGGGGAGGCAGGCATCTGTTAATGTTTACCTTAACCACAACACTAATCCCCTTTCAGCTGAAACTTCTCACTATTCATTATCCAGACTATGAGACCTTTCAAAACCTGGAAAAGTTTTTGTGTGTGAGAGAAAATAAAGAACCAAGGAAACAGAACACTGAATATATTAATAATGATTAGTTGGCTTCACTAAAAAGCTGAATACCCCTTCAAACTTAAATTAAATTCGTATTATGTTAACTATGTTCTACTTTGCAATTGTGCTAATCATGAATGGGCAGACTGAAGTCTATGTAAGGAACCACTTCTGCTGCTGTCACGACACAACCCCAGTCAGAGTGCATGGGGTCAAATGGCCAGTTGGTCAGTTGTTGAGGGATGGATGAGGGTAATTTCTGACCTGGATTGACCTAGATCTGGGGATTTGTTCTAGAACCCATCTGATCCCATAACAACCTCTGAATCATGTGTCTAAACTTTCTTTGTATATGTTGCCATTACATTGTATTTTGACATCATGTATTTTCAGCATATCAACTTTTTCCATCGCAAAAGCAGAAAGCATTTCCTATTTTGTTATGTTTAATCAGCACTATCACGTCAGGCTTCATTTATTCCTAAATCTTTGAGAAGGTGAAACTTTACACATTGTTTTTGTCCTTCCCAAGATCCACAACTGCATGGCCAATTTGTAGACGCTCAAAATAACTGAATGTTCCTCTTTGGTATGGTGTAATTGCTGTGTTTAAGTTTCCCCAAAGAAACCCAGTGACAAATATTGTATTCTATTTTTCTTCACCTAGAGCCTCTGATGGCTTATCTTGAGAAAGTATCAATTCCAAACACATTTTCATAAGGCCTCATCTACTGTCCTTTAATTTAAACAAAGCAGAGGGGCCATAGCATATGAGGTTAAGTCTTTTATTGAGCATTCATCTTGGTCTGGTCAGGAAGTTGAGTAAATAGAAAGTTAATTTGGGTCTTTCTTCACTCTGTCTGATCAGGGGCATCTTGTTGGAGTATAGAGTGGGTAAGATAAGTCATGGATGCCTTAGGATGCTGTGGATCACCACAAGCCTGGCTCTGGTAGAGCAGGCCACTCAGCCGGACCGGCAGGATGGGATGGGAATGCTGTTTGAGCGAGGAGAGGGAAGCGGGATGGAATTAAAAACACAAACAAAGATCAGATGTACTTTGAGCAGTCGTCATGTCTCAGTTTAGCAGAAGGCCAGCTGGACCACAAAACTAGACAGAGAGGGAGAACCAGTGGTGGGCTCAGTGCCTGGTGAGGGAGATCTGGTCTCATGGGCTTTATTGGTTTGCATTAACTTGAAGAGCAGCTTGTGTTTTTCAAAAATAAAAATAACAGGTGGATGACGAGACTGTGTCGCCACATTTGAGCAATGAGTTCTCCGATTGACACCCTCAGACGTTTATGCGTTTGGTGTCAAAGTGAAAAGACCTCTGACAACAAACCTGTTGTCTTTGAGCTCCGTCTCTATGGTGCAAGTCAATCCGGTATAAATAGCACACTGCTAACACATGGTGCCGAGGGAGTCAAAACAGCTAGCATATGCTGTCCCTGGGCTGGTGCTGTCAGTTCAGTCTGCAGTCTGCAGTCTCAAGAGGGAAGTGTGTGTGTGTACTTGTTTTTGTCACTTCCTGAGGACCTTTTCCAGCATAAACACTGACCTTGTCAGGACCAGTAGACCACATGGAGACCAAAGCCCAGTGTTAATGAGGCAATTTCTGAGGTCCTGGTGAAGGTTAGGGTTAAGATGTGAATTGTGGTGCAGTTAAGGTTAGAGTTAGGCATGAATTAGATTGATTGAGGTAAGGGACAAGGTTTTGGTTTGGCTGCAATGAAGTGACTGCAAGGTCCTATTAGGGATGGCTGCACAAACCATTGTGTGTGGGTGTTTGTGTGGATATTTTTGACTCTTTGTGAGTGCTGGATTATGTTGTACAAAGAATGGCACAGTGACTGTGCTACTTCACCAACTCAAACATCAATTAGTATCAACTCTGTTAGTGTTATGCATCAAAAGCTTTGTATGTGGAGTTTAACTGTGACACAACATGCTTGTTTGTCAGCACATTTTACACCTACTTTGAGTTTTTCATCTCTGGGGGGGGTGATGACCTTCAAAACACATCATTTTCAGTATAGCTGCAGCATCGCATCTTTAAACAAGCTTTACTGTTGTTATTGTTGGTAGAAAGTGCTATTAATCACTCACTACCTCACTCAGCTATATGACTTTGTCATGAATATTACATCGTCCTTGTCAGATGACGAAATGTGCATGCTGTTCAAGATCTGTTGGAGTAAGTCCAAGTCTGCAGTTTTTCTCCACACACATCAATAGACCCCTCGTCCTGCTTGTGCTTTCCTCTCTGCTTTGCTCAGTCTGCGTCTCTGTGGCCTTGAGGCCCTGCATCAGTTTGCAAAGCAAAATGGGAAAATGTGACCTTGGAGAATGGACTCTCACTTTACCAATTTCAATTTCAGCCCAGTTGTTTTCCTGCATTTTTTTGCTTCTTTCTTGAGAAATTACAGAGTTTCATGTTTAGAAGTTATGTTAAATGCTGTAAAATACAGGTTTTTCCTTTATGCCTGTCCAAGCTCCTTTGAATTCCTTTACACATTGTTATGCAGAACTGAGGTTTTGCTGGACTCTGTGTTTCAGAGGGTTTTCTTTGCAGAAGAATGCTGCATCTGTGGACAGACTCATCTTCTGAATGATTCACAGGAAGTTTAGATTACTGTTGCGGTTTCTCATTCATGCATCAAGTTTGTTTTAATGCTTTTTAAATCACTTTTCTTCAGAGAAACATCACAAATACTACGCTCACCTGTATCACTCTTTAACCACTCTTTGTGATTTAACGTCACAGAAACACATAGTTAATATTTTTTTTAAATATGCACAATCCAGTGTTGTTGTTATTATTTCGTTATTATGAGTTTCAAATCTAGAAGTTGCACACAATATATATGCTTTCACAAATCTGTGTTCCCTTGTGGAAGACAAAGACATTTGAAGTGAGATAGCAGTTTTAAAATGGAAATTGCATGGTGTTTATTTTTAGTCCTTTCTGCCTTAACTGCCTCCCCGGTCAGTGGACCACAGTATGGTGGTTGAAGGGAGAGGCCAGACCTCAGTGTGTGAGCAGAGCACTTGTGGTTACTTCTGGACTTGGCCATCACAGGGCCACCGTGGGTTCACGTCCTGGGTGCAGGGACAGCTAAGGAAGCCTCTGCTGCTTGTAATCTCTTAGTACTGTTCCTGGATTAAAGACCATTTATGCGTATCAACCTGACCTGGTTGTACATGGCATGACCTGCAATCAGTAATCCAGGTTGCTTATATAATGAGAACCTAAAGTGACACAAGTTAAAGGATGGATGAATGCACAGCTCAGTCGATAGTTAAACAGATGGGATTTGATTAATGGACAGACCTGCGTAGTTCACATAGATTTTTCTGTCCTTTCGTACTTTTGGTCTGTGAGTTAAAACCCTGTGTGGAGAAATGCATTTCTTGGTTCCACAGCTTGCTAATTACTGGTTACAGCTGCAAATTCTGCCCAATGTTTTGTCTATTTCAGGTTGTGACACAGAGCGTGAAGCTTGAGAAGTACAAACATTTTTCCTCTTCCTTTTATCCAAGGAATTTCAAAAAATACTTTTAATTGAATGTGCATATAGTAAAAATAGCAATTTTAAGTAAGATATTAAATCAGATTACAATTCATAAATTGACAGGTTTGAAAGCTTTTACACTTGCAAAATACTTGGATACTGGATTGTAAGTGATTTTATTTCTGCCACAAGCATTTTATTTTGAGTAAACAGAAGAAGAAGAAGAAGAAGCTAGTGGAGACTTAGAATAAGCAGTGATGCACAGAGAACAACAAACAAGACAAACAATAGGGTTTAATTTAAATTGACAAAGTGGATTTTTGATTCAGACATTAGGAGAACTCCTGGTTGTACTAAACTGACAAGTTTTCCGTGGTTTAAAAAGTTTTCCTTGGTTTAAAAAGTTTTCCTTGGTTGAGTGTCTCCCAGGTTATGCAGGGCCAAGCAACTGGTCAACGTATATGATTTAGCATGTCTCCTCCGTCACGCTACATTTCATATTACTGTCACACCCATTATTTTCAAAGGCATGTCAGTCCATATAGGCATAAAAATAGTGGGCCTAACTTTGGCTCCTATGCCTGGATTTCCTGTCAGTCTAAAATCTGTCCTGTAATCTGGAGAAGCACTTGCCTCCCCCCATCTGCCTCTGTACAGTAAAGCTTTGTTTCTTTGGCTTCTGCTCTGTCTACCTGTCTCACTTTCTCTCTATCTTTGTCTCTTCCTATCTCTCAGTCTGCCTTACTGTAAGAGCATAAACAACAACCTTTAAATAAGTCCTGTCACTGTCTTAGAAACAATAGGATTACTTGAGCAATTGAAGTTCTTGCCTACTGGATCAGCCTCATGCTTTGCTCATCTCTTGTGTCCTCTAATGAAGATACGCAATCCTATAATCTGTCCAACTATTATATCACCAGCAAACTTCTGGTTTAGCATGGAAAGTAAACAAGATGTCACAGAGTCGTAAGCTGCCCTCAGACATGCACTGAACTCCGGATAATCACCCATAACGATCTGGGGCATTTCTTACAAGCGACCGACACAAAAACTGAAAAAAAAGATAAAAAGAATATAAATATATCAGGATGAAAAAGATGTTCCAAACATGTAGAAGATGCTGATGAGGATGTCAACATGGAAAGATAAATGTATTTGAGAGCTTTGGGTTATAAGGGACGACGCCAATGTTGAAGCCCTGCCTCCTGCTTGCTCTACCCAGGCGTCACCCCTCACCTGAATGCTCTGGAGATTTTCCAGTTGCTGTGAGCATGTCTGACCCAAACAATCTCCTAATGCGTTGTTCATATGTGAAGAGTAAAGTCTGGATTATGTCCGGACCCAATTGTCAGGACATTTTCCGCAGGTCATAAAAACAGGTTATCCTAACTAACCACATGTTTTGTTTCACTTCTCAAATATGACACATGCAGTCTTTAAGTGGTGTAGTGCAGTAACACAAACAGAGTGCCTGAACACATCAAAGCCCTCTGACCCATAATTTGTTTTCCAGCTTTATTTCCTTCAGGTTCAATTAAGTTACTATCGTATGTGGGAGGAAATTGAACTACATGGCAGTAACTGGTCTGATTAAAAAAACACATGGTTTTTGCATGTTACATATATGTTTGCTTATGTTCTTTACAGAGAAATAAAAAGTCTAATGCTAATGCTAATTAATCCATGTGTATCACAAGCTTTGATGCCCCACAAAGTCATCAGAGTGGGACTGATGAGAACAGACAAATTCAAGGGGTTCAGTGACAGTCATATGCTGTCGTTTTACACACCCTGACTGTTGATGGAGTGCTCCCTCAACTTAAGTCATATTTTTGCCCTCCTGTGATGGTATTTTGTTTTCCCTGTCCACTCCTCCACTGTCGGAGCCGCTGTCCTGCAGAGCTGACAACCCCGGGATATAAATTGGTTAATATCTCCAATTTGGAGGTCAGGCAGACACACGTGACGAGACAGGCTCATTCTTCATCTCCTTGACCGGAGACGGCCGATGACAGCCAGTCAAGCCCAGACAAATCATAGCTCCTCTGAAAAATCTTCACGTGTGATGATAGTTTATCAGACAAGGAGTGCAGGGAGACGAGAGGCACCAGACTCTCAATGCTGCTCCAGATCTGCTTGACTCCTCTCCAACCCTGCACAGCTCGTCATTCTAGAGTGCTGACAGGAGCTGATAGAAGAGAGAACACCCAATGGTCCAGTGCAGACTAAAGCTCAACACACTGCATTTAGGCAATGATACATAAAGGAATCACCTTCTACTTATTTACTTTTCAAGCATTGTCTTTCCACTTTAATGCACTGAAGACTAATCAATGTGTAACTGTGTCTTCTCGCTGTTTAGCCTGATGACTGTGCCCTTCAGCTGTCCCATAATGGAAGCTACCTGGACTTGGAGTCTACCCTTGCAGAGCAGAGGGATGAACTGGAGGGATTTCAGGAGGAAGGAGGGTAAGGTCACTTCTGTCTCTCTCTTTTTTCCATTTCAAAGCATTATCCAACTCTGCTCTAATCTTAAAAAACAACTAAAATTAGACACTTTATATCAAAAGAAATTTGGTCATGAAATTCCATCACTTCAAAAGGTATAGTTGAGACTGGAGGCAGAACAGCTTGGATTGAAAACACATGACGGACCGGCAGGTGGATACTCGGTTGTCTCTGATTGGCCAGGAATAGATTATTCACATTGTTGTGGTCAAATGAGTAAATGATTAGAAAACTTATGGTTAGAACAATCAGGCTTTTATAAATACTCAAAATATTTCTTCTGCTTTTAACAGTCGGACATAATCAGAACAATGTGATTTTTGGAGAAAGACAAATTCAGGCAAGTCAAGAAGGAAAAGATAGTCTTTAAATCTTTGGCCATGGGGTATGTATTCATTTCCTGCTTGCTTTATTTGCTTTGCCTAATTTGATTCTATTACAGCGATTGGAATCATAATGATACCCATTTCATTCCAGGATGATTTAGTGAAATAATCCCCTTTCCGGGCCACAGCAGATTGAGCTCTACTGCATAAAAGCTTCTCACAGGAGGTGGTTGGTCTGTGGAAGAGCTGAGGGGACTAGCTTTACCCCAATGTAGGAAATCTCCATTTTAAAATCCTTGAAATTTTACAGTGAATCAGTGTCAACCCAACAACAAGTGTCCCAACAACAATGTCACTGAACAAGGAAAGATCATACAAGTCAGTAGAAGCACGTGTTGCATTTTTATACATCCGTCCTGGCATGTGACGTTGATGTGGTCGTGAAGCATGAACTCAGAGTTTGGTATGTTTTTGTCATAGCCGATGATTACCACCTGGTGGCTAAATAAAGACCATAAATCCTGCCTTCTCCATGTTAGTGGATGGGACATGAATCAAACCTAAAAGTACACGTCAAATAAAATGTTGATGTTCGATGATTTTATCAGTCCTATGGTTTTATTCATGCCCTTTTTCGTAATAAACTAAATGCCTCTGTGTTTCCCATCCACTCGTGCACTGTACCTGGCCAACCATGCAGAGTAGCAGCAGTGATGTCATCTAAACCACTTATGATATGATATACTAAGTGTAGCCACGTCTCATGAGTAATCTCCCTCATCTCTATTGAATGTTACCTCAGTGCTTTCATTAGAAGTGGCTGAGCTACAGTTGCACGTACGCACTACACCATACGTCTCTCAGCTTTTAATTTAACTCTGTTGTTTCCCCGTAATATGAGGCTTTGTCTCGTCACAACCCCAGACCTGGATGAAGAAGAGAAAGGTTTATAATTGTGTTAGTTTCATTTCAGTTTCATACACTTTCCTTGGCCAGTCACTTTATTGACTCCATATGTTTTTTCATGTACTGTGGACGATGTTGATATATCATTCATGTGCTGCCCACTTAAGACGATCACAAACCAAAGGTTGGCATGAGAGTTCCTGGTTGGCTGGACCACAAACTTGTATGGATTTATTTGTCTAACTTGGAATTCATAAGCTCGCTCTCTGGCGTGGTGTTTCTATTGGACGTCGAGAGAGCCGTCCTTTCCCAGTTCCATCTGAAATTGTTAGGAGCTTATGGGAGGCTATTGAGAGCTGTGAGGTTAAAGTGGTCCACTTCTTCGCTTGTCGAAGAGCGAGCCTGCCAGGGCGCGTGTCGTGCCAGCTGGCACGGGGTGGTATGGATGTGTGTCATTAAACCCACACAGTGTTGTCTGAGGAGGAGGCTGGGGGTGAAGGTGGTTAGCCAATTATTTTTTAAAAATAGGGTAGTTCTGCTTGCTGACTTTTTATGGTGCTGATGTGCCCAGGATTGCATCCCACATTGCTTGGTGTTGTCGATTTGATGATTATCGAGCTAATAAAATTTCTGCTGAGGCATTTCACCTCTACTTGTTGCATTTAATTTTGTTTTCTCTCCCACTTTCACTGCATAAGATCTGTCAACAGCAGTCTCCAACTCCAAAACATTAAGAAGTTGTGTTTTTCCAGTATTCTTTTCATGATTTTTACAGCATGATCTCAAAGTAACAACCCTCCACTAAGTTCAGATAACAAGCTTCAAAATGGTGCTTTCATTATTTTTGAAATTTTCACGATTTTGAGCGCAGCCACCTACTTCTTGGCAGGAGAATTGTACCATATTCGTCTTCTGCCTGAGCAGCTGAACTCTCCCGATCATTGGACACTGAATCCAACTGTAATTAATATTAATGACAGGTTACATTCCTGAGGCGCCTGTGTCATATAGTGTCTTTACAATCAGATTAAAGTATGATCCTCTGACAGAGCACTGCAGAGCCTGGAGATATCCATGTCACGGGAGCTTAAGGGCCCTAATCACTTCCACACCGTGTTATGAAGCCGAGCTATAGGAGATTGTGACTAATAAATCCCCTGTCCCATCTCTGATATAGTCTCACTTTAAGTGATAAACTGACCACACAGCCCAAACATGTGCTTGGACATATCTGCACAGTTTTACGTAGTTGGTGTGTCATTCAAGTTCTTAGCTGTGATGGATTGATTGACCCCATACACACAATTTCCTGCATTCGTGGCCCTGAGCTGAGGTGGAGTATGGGGGACATAGTTAAGATCAAATGTCCCGGCATGTGCTTACAGACATTTATAACCCTTGAATATTTGTGTGGATTACATGGATTGAAGAGCAGGAGCCTGCTGGAGCATTTCATGGGAATTTGGGTCTGAAGTTGGAGAAAGAATGTTGTATTGACTTCATGTGTGGACTTAATGTGTGGGGCGTGATGTTGTTTTTACTCATTATGTGACAGTGATTTGCAGATGATTAGTAAAGTAAGGCATCAAGGACTTGCTTGTCTTTAGAAGACTGTTGTTTAGAAAGTGGATTTAGCGTGTGAAATCCACAGCAGAGAAAACACGTTTTGATATTTCATTGTCCTGTTTGACACAACATCTGTACTCCCACATTAATGATCTGGATATGCCCTTCTTGGTTTTAGTGCATGCTCTTGATGTGTGCTACAACAAGTCAGAAGTCAAGCATATTAAAATCCAACTGTTCTTGCTCTGCTGGCCTCAACTATTCAGAGTTTCTCGTCTCATCCTTTCTTCTTTCGCAGGACAGCTCCTCTTTCATTATTTTCATTTTTTTCCGACCCACTTGGACAATGTGTCGTAGACTTCCACAGCACATGAGATTCTCATTTGAGAAGAAGAAGCGCATTTGAAAAGAACCAGAGAAATTGTCCAACACAGAGCAGCTTAAACTTCAAGGAGGGAAATAAAACACCAGTTGTCCTCTTTGTGTTTGCACAGAGCAGTTTAAGGGTATTATTAACAGAATAGAACAGCTTGGTGATTGTTCCGTGTGTAAGTGTGTGTGTGTGTGTGTGTGTGTCTGTGTGTGTGTATATAGACGTTTGAGTTTGAGACCTGGTCAATGGTTAGTGAAGCCCCTCAGAGGGAAATTAACCCTGTAGATAGTACTCGCATCGTTCTCCAGCCCCTTTACCCCACCAGGCTCACTCAGGCACTGAACGTCCTTTCCCTACACACTGATGCAGAACTCCCTGCAGGGCACGGGGGGTCACAGAGAAGTGCTGAGTCAGCAGACCTTCTGTGGGGCCTTCTTGTCTGGCATTAATTGGCCTTCAAGGGGAAATACTGGCTTTTACTGTATCCCAACTATGTGTGTTCACTTTCTGTGGGTACACATTTTGTGTTGTTTTATAAACAGAGCCAGTAATGCTGCCTTAGATAAAGTCAGAGAGGATGGAGCTGGCAGGAGTCCACTGGTCCAGTTGCTGCTGCTCTGGGTATTAAGACAGAGACAGATCTTTATGAGGGCGCTGCACAGCTGAATAGCACAGGGTAAATAATTGGCATGTTCAGTTTGTAAGGTTTGACGGGCAAACTGATGGCGATAAATATCTGCTTCATACTATTTAGAAATGGTTTATTGTCTCACTCTTTCTCATCATTTACAGTTAGAATGAAAATGGCCATATGTTTTCATTCAATATCCTATAAAGCAACCTAATTTTGACCAGTTGCCTTGGCTTATGGTCAGGAAGTAAGACGTAAGTAAGAGGTAATGTGTTTTGGGTAACCGTCAAGTTTATTCATTTCATTATTAAAAATAGTCATGGTTATTCAAATGGTAGCAACTGGGGAAAATCCGAAGCCTGATGTTCCTCTTGATGAATCAGGTTTAATATGAGCTTGGCTTAAGTTAATTATACGGTACCACAGCTGGAAGAAACCCAGAAACTCTGGCTCTGAAGAACATAGACCCAGGGATTCAGCAGGTATTATATCCCAACATGTAGCCAATTTGTTATATGGCCCACATTTTTTTACAGTCTGATTATTTCTGTAACGTCCCTGCATGTAGGAGTGTCGAATTTTCATGTTTAATTGTTGAAGGTGCGGGGGGGTCCTGAAAACCTTACTTATATTCCAGGCACGTTTGTTTAATTTGATAATGAGCATGTTGGCCTGCGTAGCCTCAGGTCTTGGTTAAGCACAGGGATACTGTTACAGGGAGGCGGAGAGAAAGCAGACGTTCGTGACAAAATGGCTTTGGTTACCCATTCGCCTCAACAGCATCACAGAGGATTAAGTTCCTGTTCGCCGTCTCATCTCACCAGCGAAAGTCCATGTTGACAGATGTTGCTCCCGCGTCACCTCTGCTTGTTTCTGGATATTACATTTGATAAGAAGTGAGCATATGCAGACTTCCGCAGCCATGTTATCTGCTTGTGTGTGTATGTCAGCACAGTTTCCGGCTGACTGGTCAGGACAGGAGAGATGTCAGTGTGTCTGTCTGTCTGGATGTGTGGGGCTGTCATACAGTGTTGCTGCTTGTTGATGGCGAGACAGTGGCATAATCTGCCTTCTGTGCCAATTTCCTCTCTCTGTCAGACCCTCTGCGGCCTGATTGTGACTGACAGTGACAGTCTGCTGCGGCGCTGCACCAGTCTGAACCGTCGCACTGCCTTTGTGCAGGAAGCATAAAGGCCCATTTGTCAGGGAGCTGAATTAGAAGAGGGGGGTGTTGCGCAACTCTACCTGCTGTGAGCTTGTTCCAAGTTGTGTCTACTGGGTTTGTTTGTGTGCTTCTTTAGCCAGTCAGGTGGTTGAAGGCACAATCTGCGATTCCTGTCGTAAACAAAAGGGCAGACACAACGTGAAAATATTCAAAACACTTGATTGGAATGTGATTTCTCTGTCAAATGCATTTAGATGACAAAAAACTACAGGGTCATTATTAATCCCTAACGTTTTTACATTTTGGATGCACAGGCAGAAATTGATGAACAACAATTAGATATTCTTTAGAGAACCTCACCCATTCTTCACCTTGAACATGAGTAGTGTAGTTAATTTTGTGTCAGTTCCATATACACTTTCCCACTTTTTTAAATACCCACTCATGTATTGTTGGTCTTTTCGTGAGATTTGTTGACACGTTTTTCTTAATCCATTAAAACCTCACATTTCACTGATTTCAGATTTCACACACAGCAGACACTGGCCTTCTCAGTTGGCAAATGTTGCGTTGTATGACTACAAACTACACTGCTCTCACATTAACGTCCCCGAATGAATAGAATGGAGACGCATTGTTGCCATCTTTGTTTGGGATTGTCATTCAGACATTGTAAGCAGTTGACAGGATGGTGATAGGGTCTTGGCATATCTCCATTAACACAGGGGGCGGAGTTGACCTCTGACTTGCTCCCATTCTTCTTTTGCACCTATGGAAACCTTTCCCCTGATCTGTTCCATGACCCGTTCCCTGTTCACACTGCAAATATTGATGGGTCTGGTAAATGGTATTATTTGGAGAGCAAGGATTCAGGCTGAAGATAATTTTGCACCTCTGCACAGTAGCCATTCAGTTTAATGTTCTTGTCAGCACTTGTCTGCTGCTGGCATATTGATGGCTGCCTTAGATTCTCTTTCCTTATCTCTATACAATCTGTGTGTGCACCCCTACCCCAGTGCACACACAGCATGTATGCGCACACACACACACACACAGATTGAAACAATCACAGTAGTCCAAATGTCCACACACACTAACATTTGTCTTTTCTCCATTTGTCTTTTTGTTCTTCACAGGAGAGGGAAGAAACACAGCATTATTCTCCGAACTCAGTTATCAGTCAGAGTTCACGCCTGCATCGGTGAGTAATAAACTGCACCATAATCTAAACTGTCTGTTTGTAACGTCTCGCTTATGGTCAATTATTCTTCCTATATCACCAGTGAGGTTTGGGGCTTTAATTACCTCTAATACCTGTGGATTATTTTATTAAGGTCCTTGTTATACTTACACAGTGGCAGTTTTGGGAAATTGCCTAGAATCTAAATTTGAGTGCAAATGAACATCATTTCAACAACACGGTGAAACTACAGCACTGGCACCCAGCAGAGACTGAAAACATTTTATGGGGTACTGTGTCTGTCACTTTGTTTTATTGAGCCCCCTGGTGTCTTTGAATAATGTGAGGGGAACTGGCACAAAGAGCTGAGTGAAAACATATTAAACATGCATGTATGTAGTCTGTGTGTCAAATCTTCCTGTTTCAGGCTAAATATGTGTTAATCATTGTGATCTAAGAAATGCACATCAGCCCTAGTAAAGTAACTCGCCAGAGACTTAAAGGGAAATTTAGGAAAGGCTACTGTGGTTGACAGCAGGAGAATGTAGAGAAGCCCACATTCTCACACAAAGACACACAGTGCCTCCTCTGCAGCCTTCAAGCGCAAAAATAACCTGATGCCTGGAAAAGCTATTAGGTTGTAAATAGTTCGATTTTAAATTTGGGCTCTTTTTTTGTACTCGTAGAAGTCGACTAAAAGCCCAGACATTTTTCAGTCAAGTCACTATGATCTGAGAACTATCTTCGAAAGTCGTCCCTGATTATTATTCAACCTACTGATGCAAGACATGTAATGGAATGGTTTAAAAAGTAATTGGTGCTCTGAGACTATTGGTGAGATGCACAAGGAATTACAAAGACAGAACTTGATGAGGTCTAGTTTTACTTGTTGGTTGTGCAGGATTTCTTCCTAATGCTCTTGCCACTGTAATTATGTAACTAATACATTAAGCTACCACGTATAGGCAGTTTTTTTTTCCATTCGTTGCTAAGTACCTTTTGTTACCTCTGCCAAGGAGGTTATGTTTTCTCCTCTGTCCTTTTGTCTGTGTTTTTTTTTCTATGCAAGGTTACACTAAAACTTAACGAATCTCCACAAACCTTGGTGGAAGGATGTGGCATGGATCAGGATCAGGGGGAGGATTAAGGAGTTTTTATTTTCACTTTCTTTAACATTGTTAGTTAAGGCGTTTTTCAACATTTCCGTTTGATTTCTCAGAAAATAATTCAATGATCTTGATGGGAAAAAACGCACATTTAGGGGACTGATATTTATAATTTTGTGATAAAAATCTGGATCTAGTGGATTTACATATGGTTTCATAAGGGGACTGTTTGGTATGCACTCTACTGAGTGTCATTTGAGTATATTATATCGCTATGTGATGCTCCCTGATTTTATAACACTGAACAGAGAAAAAGACATCCCCATGTCTGATTTAGCAAGTCACATCCTGAGCATGGCTGTACCTGGGAATGTTTGTATGAACATTGACCACACTCTGCTCTGAACTGACTTTACCTTATTCTCTTCTCCTGCTGGTGCTTGGCTCAGCTTAGCGGAGCCTGGGGAGTGGCAGACAGACCTGCTGCTCTTCTCTAAGTGGATGATGACCCTCTCTTTCTCTAAGTTGACAGCCACCTGTCGCCCTTAGTCTCCCTCAGCGACTTGCCCGTGTGGCCAGCTGATTTATTTCCTCCGAGTGAGGTGGTCACTGTTACTGTAACTTCTCTAGACATTTGAGCCTAATTGTATCTGACTTGAGGGCTTACCTCGCAGCCCCATGTGTGCAGAATTACTGGGTGATTTTCCTGCTCTGCACAAGGAGATAATTCTTTAGTCTTCCAAAGACAAATGGCATGGTTTTCTTTAGGCTCGCACTTGCTGTGTATTAAGGGATTGAGCATTTCCCTGCTGTCAGTTCATGGAGGCCAAAGTCTACCCAAAGAGAAGCCCCCTTCTTGCAATACTCTTTTGTCTCTCTGTGATGAGAGATGTCATGCAATGAAAAAAAAGCCACACTTACAATATGTGTTTGAAGAAGAGCCAGTACACAATGTACAGAGGAATCAGATTGGCTTTGACACCATGATTTTCCAAATCTCTGGAGATCTTTTTTTTAATGCTCCTTTTGTTTAAGTCAGGCAAGCTCAAAATAATAGGGATAATTATGGAAACAGAGTAAAACATGCTGTTTGGACACAAGCTGTTAAGAGTTTACTAACATATCCCATTTTGAATGTATCCTCCCTTGAGGTTAGATACTGAGTGAGCACACCCATGTTGTTAAGATTTTATTCATCCCAGGAGTTCCCTCCATGATTACGAGTGATGAGTTGGTTACAGTAATCTTTGTCATTTATCTCTAATTTATGGAAAATCCATTGTGTGTGTGTTTCAGCTTTTAATAGAGCAGCAACATAACTTTGTTTAGGTCTTCTGGTTTTAGAGGTTTTCTTCAAATTAACACATCACACGGACAGCCTTCAGTTTTTCTGCGTGTGTATGTGTGCGTCTGTGCAACAGTGTACATGTGTCACGAACCACAGCGAGACCTAATCCAGGCTTGTCTAATCACAGTCATTAGCTCTCACACACATATGGCTCTGCGTGGCCAAGGCAGAAACCTTTGCTGCAGAGTCACAGGAGGAATCGAAATGCTCACCCACAAGAACTAATGGTTCATTAAACTGCTTTTTACCGATCCACCTCTGGCACAGTGATTTGTTGTAATCACACAGTGAAGCAGTCCAGGTTTTCTGTCTACTAAAAGAGTCTGACCACACAAAGGTTTATACATGGGTGTTCTGCACAGTGCAGCCTCATTACCTTGACCTGTTTTATTATCACTAACCCAAACCTAAATGAAGCCCTAATTTTGTCTTCCTATATGAACCCTCTTGGAGCTCAAAGGGCAAAATCACTGCTCCCAGATGAGAGATGCGAGGAAACATGTACTGTAACATGACGCCCGGTGGATATTGCATGTTATACAGTGTTACATGATCCAATGTGCATGCATCCTTTAGGGACAAAAAAAGAAAATGGGATTTATTTTGTCTCAAGATAACTTGATTTGTGTTTGTCTGACCGGCACAACATCCTGGGATGTAGAAAATAAACTCAACTTGTCCCTGCATGCGTGTCAGCTTCGGCCACAGCCTGTTTACTTTGTCGGGCTGTTATTGTTGTCGGTGGAGTAGATGTGGTAGCGAGGGCCTGATTAAAGCAGCTCCGTGCTCATTTTGGTGTTGTCTACAAGTACAGTAGGTCCTCTTTATATGTGCCATTTAGTGTCTGAGGTTGCACGAGTTGCGTGAGGTGGTGGTGTGCGGAGTTTGAAGACGGGGAGAGAGGCGACAGTGTGGGCTGCAGAATGTTTAAATGGGGACACCAAGTTAAGAATTAACAAATGTCACATGTAATTATCAGCAGCTCCTGCAAAGTGACGCATCCAAGCAGGATTTTGTAGAGGTCGTACAGAAGTACAGTCAGAAGCTGCTCCTCTGAGAATTAATGGCATTTATGTTGGACAAACATCTGATGTAGCAAATCTATCTATTGCAAATTCTCCTTGATCTCCTGAAAATCCTCTTGACATTGTCCTTGCTATTTAAATCACGCCAGAATAGACAGATTGTTTTTTTATTTTCTGTTTAGAAGTTCTTATTCACAAATGTATAAATCGCACTTTTGAAAGTTATGTTTCGATTGTATTCCCCATTAATCAGAAGGTTCATCTGTCCACACATTGATCCTGGCTGAGGGGTGACAGCCATAATCCGAGGTGAAACATTCTAAGTGGATTATCTACCTTGTCTTTTACAACCTCTTATAATCCAGGCTCAGAGCTTGATTCATGATTGTGGCCACTGTTGAACTGTGTTTCTCCTTTGCGCCATAATTTTTTGACAAATTGATAGTTTTGATCCTCATGGTGACAACAGAAAACTCTGTGGTTGTTCAAATGGAAGATGCTGAGCAGTAAATTCTCCCTCCCTCTGCGAACTGTGTTGGAATATGTTCCTGGCAGTAAACTGCATGGCTGCATTCAAATACTCTTGTCACAAGTGTGGGCTTTTCACTGCTTGCTGATCTAATCTATGCATTATTATGTATATGCATCTGTGTGGGATGTCAGCACGTTGACTTAAGGTGATAACATCACCTGTGGGTTGCGGTGCTCCCAACCACAGTGTCTTTTCCACACACTCTGCCAAATCTCTGCTAAGACATGTGCACTTTTGTAAGCACACGAAAAAATAATTCCAGTAGTTACCTATTAAATAGATGAACTAGAAATGTCTGCTATCAATTTTAAAAGTGCCAAGTGAGGTGATTATAGCCAAAGTTATGGGTCTTATCCAAATCTTTGCATGAGCTAAAATGAATTCAGGGAAAATATACATTTATGTGACATTTATATCAGGGTTATATCTGCATACTGAGGATCCTCAGAATTCCACTACACTTTAGAGTCATATTGAAGCATTCAGATCAAATCCAGTCGTGCTTCTGTGACCAGAGAGTGCCAAGCAAGTGCGGAATAATAAAAACATGCACATCACGTGGCACCTGTGAGACACGCTGGAAGAACAAATGACCTCTGCTCTCGTCTCCTCGACTCCCCTCAAAGACACTCCAAAATGGGATCAGGGACTTAGACTCACCCCTGGAGGCCAAACTAAACAACACTGTGCCAAATAGGAGAAATCTGAGGCAGCAAAACATCTGATAGCAAAAGTGGATCAGGGAACAGTTTGATGGTATCACTCACCTCACACTTTGGCTTGCTCTTATGTACTTAATGTTTGGGTATGAGCCCAACAACCCCATGCAGAGAGATATTATCAGCATAGCTTAGGTTAATGCTTCATTTATGTGCAACAGAACAGGATGATGTTTCCCCTCATTTTGTTCTCGTATCCTCTCAACAACTAAAACACAGCATTTTCCATCGTTTGGCAGAATTACAGCTAATTGTTTGCACTTTTGTAGATTTGTTTCACATACCGCATGA